TTATTCAAATGAATATTGTATTGGCCCCATGAACACACTCACACAGACCTCAGAACCAACCCTGAATCAACAAGTCCCATTGTTAAAGGACTGGACTGTTTTTTGGTTGTGGCTGGTCTAGAGCACCAGCCAAGTTCAAGAGGAGCCGCCCTGAACTGTCTCATAGAAGCAACAAACATGCTCCCATGGAGATGCAATATAATTGGTGATGTGCTCAGTCTGTTTAGTCTGAGGCCCTCAGCCCCATTTGATCCTGACTGTTGAGTCTCTGAAGAGTGTGTTAATAATTCTTGCTTATTAAGCAGACACTACTGGCTAGTACAAACTGCACTAGCCCACCTGTGTCTAAGGCCAGCTCTTTGGCCATGGATACTGGATGGATTACCCACACAGCTTCTCAAAAACATACCGGTTGAGGCTTCCCACTTTCCCCATTTGTCGTCTTTCTCCTTCTCTCCTCCTCCCCGCTCTTCTCCTTTCAAAATAGAAGTATCAACTCCTATCGATATACATAGAATAAAAGAAAAAAAATCATGCATAAATGTGAATTAGAAATAAAGTTACTCCCAGTGTCCACAACGCTATAGATGGAGGGATCTGTATCTTCACTGGTTTCTCCTTTTTCCAGGCTCCACCTTTGCACCAAGTTTAATGATATTCAGCATGGTGGTGTTTGCATAATCCTGCTAACTAAAACAGAAGCCGGCAAACCTGACAAACAACAATATTTTTTTAAATTAATAAATGGACATTTTTAATCTTGTTACCAAACTGCTGTTGTTGTGATGGCTTAAATTCGGACAGCGAGCATGAATGAATTCATAGTGTGCTACGGTTTTCTGCTGCATCTTATGAGACACAGAAAATAAGTTGAACTGAAGTGATTACCAGGGACAAGTGTGCTTGGAGTTGTGGGAGTTTTCTTGTTTGTACAGGCAGGTGTGTTTGCTTTTCAGAAGCTTATATAGAATTTTTTTGTTTGCGTTTCATCGTGCATACGTTGAGGTTAAAAAAAACATGCACAAATGTTTGCACAAAGGATAAGTTAGCAATTCTGTCAGAGCTCGGTCCTGCAGGGTAGTGGGTATGCAGTTTGTCACTCGTTTAAATGGATCGGCGGCAGACGTCACCTTGGCGTCTCTTCAAGCTGTTTACAACAAGCCACTCGCTGGCTGCCTCAGTAATTGATTTGTTTGAGGTACACACACAATAAAAGCATTAACAGCTTCTAAATAATTGAATCCCCTGAATAACCCAAGCCTTTGGTCTGGTAATGCTGTGAAAAGTGAAGAGAAGCTGGCCTGTTGGTTAAAAGAGGTATAAATTTATTGACTATGTGGCTCTGCTGCAAATGTGAGGAAGAGGAAGGAGAATGGGCAGTGGTGGGGGATGCTAAATAACTTTGGAGCGTTTGGGCGAGTGCTGCGCAGAGCGAAGAAGTCCTCAATCAAAGTCATGAACGTATTCAGACTCTGAAGTTGACTTGAAGCCAGTGAGCGAAGCAGAGCAGCTCAGCATGTTCTGGATGGATGAGTCTCGCAGTGGTCAGCACTGCAGTGCATCCTCCCTCACCCCCGCCACACACTCTGCACTTGCTCTCTCCACCTTCCTCTTTCTCTCCCTCATCTGCACACACCTACTCTGAACTAATTTTCCCCTTCTTCTTCTTTTTTTTTTTTTACCACTTGGCAAATAAACAAAATCTATGACTTAAAGGAAACTTAAAATAAATCTAGTGGCATAATCTACTGAAAGTCCCTAAAGCTGCTTACATGACATGGAGGAGAGAACAAGCTGACTAGAGAGCCTGAAAACTGTGAGGTAGTCAACATGGAGGGAAGTGGTTGACTTAGAGACTTTATTACTTCTGTGGTCTCTATCAAAGTGGTTTTGTCTTCACCTGTTTGACAACATCCGGATATTCTAATAAGAAATATGAAGCAGACTCTATGAAACTTTTCTCAGAAAGCAGTTTTTTGCATGATTGCTGCAGCTGTGTCTCATTACCGTGACCTTGAAGTGTTTGCGTAGTTACATATTTTCGGTGCTTCATTTACATGTGAAGTCAGATACAATGAGCAGAAATCGTTTTGAAAGGGGCAATTTTTTTGTCAGTTTTCGTAAAAATCGGCAGAAATGCACCCCTAAATATGTTTAAAACTCATAAATGCTCATTATAACTTGTAAAATATTTGTCAAAAGGTTCAATAAACACTTTTACTTTCTTAAAAAAAACA